AATACGAGTTTCCAGATGTGAAGTGAAATTTAAGTCCAGATCTAGTTGGGGTTTTTGTACCAAAAATTTACACTTGGTTTAAAGGATTTTCAGTATGCTGAAAATAACTACAATTACAGTGGTTCAGAGAAGAAAACTACACTATAAAAATACCTAATTAATTATAGTATATTCTGTTACATTATATTCATTATATTAAATAGACTTTAAATCTAATTAATTCATTTAACAACATAAATTTTATGCAAGAAGAAAACAGCTTTAAACTTAATCAAGGAAAAAAAGTACGTTTTAGGAGATTCTGAACTTTTGCTTAAACCAGATGTGAATGTTGGGCATACACATGCAGGTAGAACTCTGCTTGAAAGTAATGGGAATTACATTCTCTAACTACAGGGAGAATAGACCTCTGAGAATAAATCTTTTAAGCATTTAAGAGACATATGCCATTTGCTTTCAAAGCTAATATTAGCAGTCATCAAGACGACCATCATTACTTAACTATCCAATAAACTAGACCAAAACTTTTCTGTGAAACAGCACTTGTTTGCCTTTTATTTTTTTTCAGATATACATGCAGAGATTTTTTTCCCCTGGCAAATATAATGCTCAGTTTCATTTTACCCACAGCTCAGCCTCCCTTGCCAAATATAATAGAATGTTATCAGATTTAGGTTTCTGAATAATGAAAGCGAGAATGACACCTTCAGTCTCCTTTAGTCTGAAACTTCCAAATACCTGAATTTTTGCAAGTAAGAGATCTAAGTGTGGGAACTGCAGTCTATACACCTTCTATCTCCATTGCAATGCCACAGAGAAAATGCAGCTCAGATGTGGACTTATCTTTATTACTCTCTGAAACATAAAATAAATATTGCAAGTAGCTTAATAAAACTATTTGCACTGGATCTGTTATTTGGCACAATTTATCTGGAATTTCACATTACGTTCCTTTATAAAAATTAATTCTGGACAGGATTTTGCACTGCATCTTAACCGTATTTAATTTTTATTTTCCATAACAGAGTTGAGGTTGTCCAAGCAGGTCCAATATGTTTTAACTTTATTACAATTACTATAAAGTCTCTAGAAATACATCTAAAATTGTCTTGACAATTTAAACAAAAGCAGATCTGTATGGGATCTGTAATTGTACCACGCTACATGATTTAAGCTGGCTAATAGTGAGCACACACTGAGCAGCTGGGAATGAAAAGACTGTGTGTGCTGGGAAAGAGGAGGGAGAGCAGAAGCAAAGGTTAATAAAGCAAAATGTATTTCTCTTTTCTTGCTCAAAATTTAGCCGCGTATTTACCAATATCATTGTATTAATATATGCAGACAAGGCAACATATATTATATAGTTAATTCTTTTTAGTCATCCTAATCCAATATTTCTGTTTTTCTTAGTATTTTTTCTGGTTTATGATTTTTTCTGTTTTACGATTTTGCATATTTGCATCTCTATCCCAGTTACACAAACATAAATTTTTCATTAAATGTGGAAATGCTTTATTTATGGTACTAAGTAAAACGACTGTCTTACCTAAAAGTTAGTGTTAAAGGTAATACCTCAAAACCCCAAATATAATATTTATGACTCTTTTACAAACAGAGGTTTCAGTTGGTTAATATAAGCAAAAAAAAAAAAAATAATGACCAGAGCTACATAAAAAAATTCAGGTTATTTTTATCAGAAGCCTTTAAGTGAATTAAGTTTATAAGAAGCAAGCGGCTAAACCTGGTATGACTTACAATTATTTTTTACTTAAAATATAAAATCAAGTGAAAGACCATGAAAGAAAGCTACAGAAACTTCAAGATTATTGCCACTCTAAAAAAGAGATTTCAAGTCATACTTATAGCTTATACAAGATCATCTTTTTATTAAGAACTCCCAAAGGTAAGTTATAGCAATAGCAGAAATCAAACCTAGCATACTTGTGCACATTTCCATTCAATAAGGTTAAGTCAGATTCGTGATTTAGATGCTCAGCAGATCCTAGCTCTACAGTATCATTACACTGTGCCTTGGAACTGAAGCTTTTTTCTAGCCTAATAATGACAAGGGCTATATAGGATTTGCACGAGTCCTAAATGCACAGCAGAGACCAGAGTTCATGGTGGGTGTCAGGCATTGCACAAATATGAAAGTTACATATACTTTTTATGCGTAACAAATATTATAGTCACTAGGAAAATTTCTTACAAACAAAGGAGATGGTAATTTTGAGTTCGTAATTTACATAACAACCCTTCCTAAGTATAAAGGTTATACTTTTAATTATATTCTTGGGGGTCCCCAAAAAACTCAACTGAACTATCGCTTTCATCTTCACATAATAAAAAGCTATGAAACAGGCTGTTAACTGAATTAAGTGCCACAAGGTCATGAAATAAAAGAACTATTTTCTTCTTTTCTTCTTTCTTTCTTTTTTTTTTTTTTTTCAGGAGAGAAAACAGTTTACAAAACAGAAAAAGACTTGTTCAATGAAACAATCAGCTTTAGTTACAAGTGCAAAAGTCAGCCATGTGTACTAATTCTCAGTAATTATGATGCAAAGCGAACTCCTTGGGGACTTAAAAGTCAACGCCTGGCAATGGTTGGGCAAACAGCAGAGTGGAGCTAGTCAGGTGATACTGACCCCTTCAAAGCCCTTTGTGTTACTGAACAACCCAAACCATCCAAGTATCTGCTTGTCCTCCCTTTCTTAGGTGAATACAGGCTAGTATCTAAAACATTACAATCTAGAATGCATCCCAGCACACAGCTCTTGCATAAGCAATGAATACACTCTAAGGAAACAGAAGCACTGAAGAAGGAAAATTTAAATCTGTGTTTGTAACACAATCCCAGCTGAGAATTAGATGTGGAAAGCGGAAAGGTGGTAGGGCAGGTGTCTTATAAAATTCATCTTAGTTGGTTTCCCCATTTTAGACTCCAACACATTATGCACTCCTGTCTTCTTGCCTCCCACATAAGCGATTACTACATTGTGAAATTGGGTAAAAATCCAAGACTGAAAATTTTCAAAAGCGTTCAACAGTGTCCTTGCTGCTTCCACAGTGAAATCATAGGTTTCATGATGACTTAAACGAGGGCAAAAAGTTAGGCCAATACAATGCTGAAAGCTGTAGGAAAAAAGCCTGTCTTGGGCATCTCATATTTTACACATATCTTTACATCATGAGAAAAAAACTCACCCCCCAAAAAATAGGCACTGCTGGTAATGAGAGACTCTGTTGCTAGTCTGAATTGGGTTTAAAATTACAAAAAAATCCCCAAAGACCACCTGCACAAGAAACAAGTTGCAACCTATCTACCTGGCACCAAACTATGCCCTTAAGTGGAGCATTCCAGTTAAAAGAAAACTCAGGGCACTCTGCCACCATACATCTACTGCTACAACTTTATGCAGCATCTCACTGTTAATATTAATTTCTAATATCAAAGAGGACAAGCCAACATTTACAGTACATTTAAAATACATCTCAAACCACCTATCTCTTAAAGCAGATCCTTAGTTTACAGTGAACTACTGGCAAAAAGCTTGCTGCAGCATTCTTATGAATGACAGGTCTCTATAAAGAGTGCTTCTTGTACTGCATTAAAAAATTCACAGCAGTCTGTAAAATAAAAACTCTAGATCAAATGACATTTTAAATGAAAATTTTGCTGAATTCTCTATGGCTGCTACGTTCATGAGACTTTTTATTAGCGTAAGGGGCAAATACTTTTTACTCTGCAAGCACTTTATTGCATTTTTCCTTCATTTACAGCATGCTTTTCATTTAGGGCTTTAGAGACCCACATTCTTGTCTCCCTTCCCTTCTTTTTTTCTCCCCTGAGTGCTCCTAAAGTTACAGAACAAGGGGATCCTACCTGGCAGTCTACAACAGGTCAGTGATCAAACAGAAGGAGCAGTGAGACAGCAGCCAAATCCTGCCCCATCTCCTGAGAATTACAGAAAGCCAGGGTTTCTCAGCCTGTAACGCAACTGAGCCACTGCACCCTGAGGCTCAGATAATCGTAGTTCACTTTCTGCACGCACATACAGCACAGATCTCTGCACCTACTGAGGTTAAGACACAAGCATTTGTTTTTAAGTTGCTGCTCACTGTAGTTTTCGACACAGGTAGAAGCTGCTTGAAAATGTGACCTCATCCGTCTTATGACAGCAGCAACAAAGACAGACTGAAAATATACCAACATTGCTCTGCCCCAGTGATCAAAGCTGGTTTAAATAAACAGTGTGCTTTATCTGTAGAATGCACTGTTCTTTGAACAACTATTCATTCTACCTAACTATTTACATTTGCTTGAACAAATCAATACACCAGAAAAAGCAAGCAGTAATATATATGAACAGACAGAACTAGACTAAACCATGAAGAATTATCATTTACTCAGTAATATGCCAGTTGTTCATTAAGATACTACTTTGTAAAAGCAAAACACTCTTAAAAACTTAGTGGGTTTTAAATACAACCTACATTCAGGAATGCATTATGCACTGAGTTAACATTACACAGCCTACGTCTGCTATGAACTCAAAGAAGCATGAGTAGTTTTTGCCATTTCAAAAAGCAAGTATCACTGCAAAAAGTGAAAATTAGTGGGTGCAATAACACATCAGGAAAGAAGTTACGTGGCAGAGTGGGTGCCACAAAGTAGTAACTAATTATTAACTTCTGGAAAGGTTAGCATGAATCCTCTTTAGGCCATAAGCTACAGCCAACGTGAATAAAGACACATTCTTTATTAAGGAAACAAACTCTAAGTTGTGAGAATTACAGAGCACAGTTAAAAGGCATGATGCACAGAAACATTTACCCTTTCATCAAGAATGGTTGGCCTATCTAGGAAAGAACTGAGATGCTCTAGTAGAGTCTGCTCTTGAACCGGATCTGTGGTTAAACAGAAGCCTTAGTCCACATAGTTCATCTTCCACACCACATTTTTATGACTCTCATATATGAAGGAAATCAAAGATACTTACACAGCCACCAGCAAGAATTTCTGCAGCCAGTGGGACAGAGCCATCTTTACTCATAAACTTATCTCTCACAAAATCGTTAACCTTAAAAAACAAACATTTATGAAAGTCAATAAATTAAAAGGTCAGAGAAAACATTCATCAGTTGCAAATTCCGTGCAATTGAAAATGCAAATACATCCATGAAGTTACCAAACTACAAGGTATCAAACAAATCTTAGATTTTGTATTAAACATTCTAAAGCTATGATTTTCTTTCTAACAAAAATTTGAAGCATAATTCAGATATTTATTATTGAAAAAATATAAATCACTAATTAAATTAAAAATCTGAAAAAATAAAATAATCTAATATTTTAGACATGCTCACTACATTTAAATATAATATCAAATTAATATCAGAATGTTCAATACTAAGTTTTAATACAATGGCAATTCAAGTAATAGCATTAAGTACCTTTTTAAATTCATTCTATTAGCTTTGGTGAATACTAGCTTATCAGTGAATAAACAATACATTATGATTGGGTTATAATAAGAAATTCTTCAGTGCCTTAAAATCGCTCAAGAAATAACAAAATTACAGAAGTAAAACATTTAGAAAAAACATCATGCAAACAAGTTCCTTTCTTACCAACAATTGATTACATGCTCATATAACCTCCTGTTGTGCTAGAGTCATACATACAGGAACCATGTGGAGATACAAAAACAAAAGCCCTCCAAGTCCAATAAATAATTATTCATGATTATTAGTCCAATAATAGTTACTAAGAAGTGAAACTAAAGGCCTGCATGACTTACAAACAAGGAGATGAGCTGAACAAGTTGAATAAGCTTGTTATATTTTGGAGTGAGTCCAAAAATAAGTTTTCACTGAGATTCTTAAAATGTACGTATGTATCTCTGCATGTGACTTGTATGTCACTGGTACTGTTCACAAGTAAGATATTAACAGCTGCTGTGTGCTTTTTGTAATTAAGTTTGTATCAAGTAAAAATGAAGGAATACACTCTACCATGTTGCTGACACATTAAGGATAAAAATCCTTAACAGGCTAATTGTAATTTGATGCCCTTTACAACGTGGAAAAATGTGAAAACCATCCATTTGCAAACTTACAGTTAGTTTTATGGCCTTCTCTGGTGCTACTCCTAATAGCTGCGGTAACAGACCTGTAACATGGAAAAAGAGAATTCAAGCCATCGAGTAACTTGGTTTTAAATAAACAAATCAACAAATATATGGAGAGATCAGCACCCAGAAACGGGCGATTTTTACAGCAATTTTGTTATTATATTTAATGAGAGTACTTAAACATTCAATTTTGAGAACAAACTTGGTGCTACCACTTAAAGTGCTACCACTGCCTATATATACTGGTTTCTTTATTTTTTTATATCCATACTAGCTCATTTTATGCTTAAACACTAGTTCAGATTTGACAACTATGTTTCTGTACTGTCCTAAACTAACATTTATTTTCTGCATTTTCACACAAAAATCAAGACTTTCTAATGAATTTTGTGAGATACACAATGCACCCACTTTAAATGTCATAAGTGCAGTATCTTTTTCTGGCAGAAACGATGGCATTAGATGGCAGAACCCAAGGGGATAGGAATCAAAATAATGCAAAACATTCAAACGTGTATGACTGCATTCTTGAGCTCTTTGCCCTGCTAAATCACCAGTTCTTAAAACAAAGGAAGTTATGCTGCTTTCTTCCCAGGCATGGAATTTCCTATTTTATTTTGTTAAAAAGTGATGCGCTACAGAATTGGAAATGTGAATTTCTGACTGTCAGCTTCACTTGCTAGAAGTGAACAGTCAATATTTTGTAAACATTTGAATGACACGGACTAAAAATAGGCAAAGCTTACTAACAAAGTCTAGGGCTAGGATGGTGTTGCAAGCATTCATCAGCATAATGAAATTAGGACACCATCCAGAAATGTGAGAAAATCACAGCAGCTAGAGCTCCTAGTACAGACCCGTTTGTTTTAGTAGCTCAGGTAGCACCTTAACCTATTGTGTATAAAGCCTGACATTTTCATCTATCCGTGGTTTTATTTTTGGGAAAAAAGACAATTAAGGTTCCACCTCTAAAAGTTAACTTGCTGAAAAGCATTTTCCTGTAGAGTCAAACGTCAGAATAACACAGAGAAAAATACACCTGCACTAGTTTAGTATATTCTTCCATCCTGCTACCATCCATCAGCTTTACTAGTTCCTACTGATGCTCTTAATAAGGAAATGACATTGAAGAAAAGCACCATCTGACTTGTGGTATCAGAAGGCCCAAACATATTTATGTACTAATGTCCTTATACAGTACATATACATGCAACATTTACCCAAGACAACTATGACTGAATATTAAAATAAAAGGATACAGTAACACTAAGTTCATATACAGTTGATCAAAACAAAAAGAAATTCTGCAGAGTAGGTTAAATTTCAAAATTTGAATTTCTAAACAGTTTTACTTGCACAGGTGACTTGAATCCAGACCTCAGTGAAAAAACATTAAGACACAGAATTGTGTAATTAAATATTACATTATATGCAGCACTATGAAGAAAACACAAGAATATACAATTGTTTCATTACAAAATTATTTTTGTAATTGTTATAATATTTACATCTTGCTATAAGACATGTGTGTCTCTATATAAACATTACGGCTAATGAATTTATATCTTCAGAGACTAAAAAAATGTTCCATATACTTTAAAAGGACACCACCTAATCCTAAACCTAATCCAGTAGAATTAGAGCAGGTCTGTAAGCAAAAGAACACAGAGATAATTAATTTTAAAATCACATATACATATATTACACCTGAGCTATATATAACGTGACTTTGAAGCCATATTTTATCAAATAAATCACAGAAAAAGACATTCTAAAATATCAAGATATGAAATTATAAAAATAGTTCAGTTAGTGATCTGTATAAAGCTCTAGTTCTAGAAGCAACATAAGCAGGAATCACTGAACTGATCTGAAGATGGCCTTTTAACCATTTTTCATTTTTCAGGTCCCAAGACTTTGCATTTGTAAAGACCCTTGTAAAGTTGCAGGAAAAATGGGTTTATCTTGGCACAAGTTATTTTTTCCCACCTGGTTCATTCCTTTTGCATTCAAATCTGAATTGGATGGTTACAACTCAAAACCTTCCACAAAACTTGAAGAGAAAGATTAAATAGAGTAGGTAGCTGTTAAAAAAAAAAATCCAACAGCAGAAAAACCCAACTGGACAACCAAAAACTCAGACCATTTTTCTCTTTTTCTCTCTCTACTTCACACATGATTTTATAATATAAAAGTGCTTTGTAAGTTTAATTTCAGATAATGCTGTGTATGTCTACTGCAGGGTAGATTACAGTATTTAAAAAAGGTAGCATAGATTTTAAAACTGCATTTTATAGCCTTGCCAGACATCAGCAAGGCCTACTGTGTCCAGCATCTTAGGAAGGTAGAGGGACCCTTCGTTTGATCTCATACCTATGCAATAAAGCCATCTTTAAGTGGTACCTGTGCATTCTATATGCTATGACCATCAAAATTAAATTTTCTTTTCTTTATTGTTTTGATGGGAGCCCTGAAACACTGTTGAAAGATTTCTAAACATGATAAAGATAATAGTTTTGAAAGAAAGCAAGCACATCAAGGGACCCATATGAAAATGTCACGTTTCCATTGGGGTTATCCTGACATGCTGGGAATTTTTCAGTGTTACTAAGCATTAGCAGATCAGCAATATGACGCATACACAGATGGAGAACAGGCTTAGAAATGTCTGACAGTGTCTTAAAAATACATGCCTTTTATAACATCAGAGAATAACATTTTGCACATAGGCAGCCTGCTAGTATAATACAAAGCAAACATGTTATTCAATGCATTTTTTTATATCCAAGGTTTTTTAGTAGCAATTATGATGTACCTCTTCATATTTGACACTGTTGTAAGTAGGACGCTATGGGAAGGTGAAGGTATATGCAAGGGAGAGCACCAAGAGCTGCATTCAGTTTGTGACACTGTACAAGTTATTTTCTGAAAGCAGTCTGAATACATTGTGAATATACAACAGCTCATCCAGCCCAGTTGTGATAGCACTGAGTTAAAAAAAAATCTTATTTGGACAAAGTATTTTTTCAGATGTCTAACAGGGAAACTTCAGTTTCACACTGTGTAACAGATGTAATTTTCCCTTCATATTAGAAAAACCCACTGACTGAAGGAGTTGTTGCTCCATCTAGGTAAAATATTTGAAACCATTTGGGCATCTTATAGGAAGGCAGTAATGGAATACCGCCAAATTTTTCCATTGCAGGATTCACACTAGAAATTGAAATCACCAGTTGCCGTTCAAGTAAGGCTCCCTCAGACTGGAAAGGGGGTATTCCTTGAAAACTTTGTGCTTTGACAGAACTTGGGGTACAAGATGGCTTGTATTTCCATTCCACAGAGATGGTACTTCATGGCCTAATTTGGGAGGAAAGCTTCAGCCACAGTCTTGATGTAGCATTAGCATGGGAGTCCATCAGTAATAATGAAGCTGGATGATGAACAAATGATTAAACTCTAAGATTAGATGGCATTTGGAGTCACTGCAGTGCCAGAAGTACCATCAAAAGAAATAAAACTAACAAGCTTCTAAACAGTTAATGATCACAGATGACAGTGTCTTCAACAGCATTTCCTGTCTTTTCCACCCTTTAGGCAAAGTAGCATTAACAGCATGGCTACCAAATGTTTTCCTAAGCTACATTTTATCTCTGGTACTTAAATTTCCCATAAATTTTCTATCAAGCACAGGTGAAATAATCTCTACTAGATTCACTGCTTAAGACTGTGAAGCAGTCTGTGACTCATCAGGTGGACTTCTGATTAAATAATACTAAGAAACGTAGGTGACCTCATCAGTTGGAAGAGATCTTGACAAATCACAGCTTTCAAAGTTTTCTTATATTTGCATATATGTACGTATATACCTGTAAGTTTCTAAATATGCATTTCAGGTATAAATGTAGACACAGTAGTAAATTACAGCCATATGAGATAAGTATTCTTTTTAGCCATGCTGAGAAATAGACAGATAAAAAATTTTTCTCAAATATACAGTCTTAAAAAAAATTATCTAAAAACACAGCTTTCAAATAATGCATATTATAAAAACTGCAGAGATTTATATAATGTTTGGGTTTGTGGGGTTTTTTTAATCAAAGTATCTTCTCAGTGGAAACATTGATTACCCTTAGTACCAAACTGACAACAAACAAAATTTAGTACTCTCTTTATATCCACAAGATGGTGTAATTTATCCTTACCTGAGATGGCGGTTTAGAACATGGTTTCCAAGTTTGGAAAAAAATAATGATACAAAAAAGAAAAGTCAATTCACTTCACTGGGGGAAAATATGTGCCTGGTGTTAAAAATATCATCTGAAATGCCTGAGTTCAGAGTGGGGCTTATAATTACTGCTTGCTTGAAGTGCGTCATGACAAAGGGACCACTCCTCCAAATGTTTCTACTACTGTTTTTAAAAGGTTTTGCATCACTATTCAGCTAAGCAGGAGAACTCTACCAATGACTACTCCCTCCTTCACTGGGGACAAAACCACCCACATTGACTTAAGCCTGAACACATCACAGTGCAAGAAAGAATTGCAGCTACTGATGAGTAGCAAAAAGTAATGTACTCTGTAGTTTGTCTTATCTAGTATAGTTTTCAAGACCAGAATGAGATGATTCTTGCTGTATGTATACTGCATTACATTGGGTAATTATCCTAATCTATAAAATGCTCCTTTCAAATTTTTTTGTCTTCTCAAGCTGAACTGGAAACTTCCTTCTGCACTCAGTTGCTCAACTTTCTCCAGCATCATCTCCTTAGAAAGTAAGTAACAGTGCAAATTTAAAGAACTCCATGGAGGAAGCTCCAGATTTTTAAGGAGTTTTCTTTATTTGACTCCTTAAAAGAGAAGCTAAGTCAGGGTGCCCTTTAAATAGAGAATCTGTAGAAATATAGGTCTCAATTTGCCTCTGAAATGATGGTGTTCTACTAAATAATCCAGAAATTAGATTACTGGCCTGGGTTTAGAATTTCAGATCCACTAAACTGCCTAAGATTTCACTATTCAGTATTACTTGAAAGACTGAAAAGTAGTAAAGGGGATGGGGAATGGAAGGACAAGCTATACTGGTGAAGGTTCCTAAAGCTCCCTAAATTTGGCAATGAAAAAAATCACTCCAAAGACAAGGCAAGCAAATGGAGGTAAGAACACGTATTTCTGAGTTTTTGGTTTTTTTCCAGGTGAAAAAACCACTGTACTTCAGAGTTTCAATAAGACAGAAGCAGGTAATAGTGGAATTCTGCATATTTATTCTTTCGAGATCCTGGAAGAAGCAGATATACATTTGCAGGGAATACATTTGGCTCTTTAGCGAAAAACTGGAATTTTAAAGATTCTGATTGTTATAAACCCTTACAATTTAGAGACCATGTCAGTAATCTTTATTAAATTATTATGTCTACTCCAAAAATGGCCTCAAACTCAGTCAATAATAACAGACCTTTCCCATCTCCAATTGTGCTGAAATAATTAGAGAGTCTGTATTTTGCACAGAACCACTTAGCCAACCTCCAGTAACTCAGGTCATATGTGATAGAGTGCACATACATCACACCACCTAGTTTTAATGTTGTTTCGCACATTGTCTTATAAACTGTTAATTTTTTTTAAATTGCGCATAGTTTTGCCCGATCATTACACTATTTTATCAAAATCCTCTGTTCTTCATTCCTGACTCAACTGCTTTTAGCAATTCATTTCTTTCATGACAATATTCTTATTTTCAAAAGTGACAAAAAGTTTCTAAGCAAAAATCAATTTTCTGACTAAAAATGAAATAAAGATTTCAAGTTTGAAATTATCCTCAATGGATATGGCAGAGAGGAATAAAAGATCTCAATAACTGGGACACCAGAAATATAATTTACTTTAACTCTGTGACAGAGAAGAACTGCAGTCTCATGCAGTAGTTCCTGATTCTTTATGATTCCTTCTGAGTTACCTGAACTGACAGAGCTGATACCACAACTGGGACAAGGACAAAATAAATTAAAAAAAGCCACCATCTAACTACAGGCACTTAGATCTAAGATATCCAAAGTGAGGATGATTTACATCCTGAACAGAATCCTCAGTGGGGCCTTCTGCATTGACTACAAAGGCAGTTCGAAACAGATAACTAACTTCCTAACTTGGGTGTATTGGTTATGTATATATATAGCTAAGTGGGTTGAAACCCAGCAAATTGCTCTGGCTGACCTCACAGTGACAAGCTAAGAAGAGGTACATATAAAACTTGATAAAGATGACTATTTCCAATGATTTAGTCATGCAAATGCAACTGGTTCAGACAGAACTTTTTTGTCTAAAACATATCACAAAGAGAGATCTGGTTAATAACAAGGCACCATATTTTCTTTGTTTTTAAATAGAAAGAAGACAGATAAGAAAGAACTGTGAAACAAAACAAAAAAAAACCAAAACCAAACAAAAAATACTCACAGATGATCCAACTTCTTACCAAACAGGACAAAACACTGCTGGTACTAAGGACTGCTAAGGAAATGAAAACTTGACTAACAGTGTACTTTTGCTGTAGGAAATTGCTATTGTTGCCCTATTGCAGATGAGGAGGGACAGGACAGAGAGGTCCTACAGAAATGTTCTCATTACAATGAAGTTTTAATTATCAATAAGTTTGCAAACCTTTCTCCTCTAACAGAGAAGAAGCAAAAGCACGAACTAGGCAGAACTGCAGTCTTAACAAAAAATGCTTAAAAATCCAAAGTGGCATGAAACTCTTATTAATATCTTATCACTACCTTTTAAACTTACCTCTGTAAAGCCCAAAGAAACCTTCATAACGCAGCACTTTCTTGAAGCAATCAAAGCTGTTTTTGTACATAAGTTCGCCCACAAAAGAGCCTGTAGAACGCTGGTTTTGCATTCGAGTTTTTACCAAATCAATTGGGTAGACTGCAGTGGCTCCAACAGCTGCAAATAAAAATCAAGGTATAAGAAAACATGATTTTGCATTTGCAGTGTTTGACTGCAACTGTCATCTTTCACATTTACATCTAACATATCAGTTGTATCTTTTTTCTCCATGATATATTCTGGATACGTTGAACTACCTCCCACAGTTTTAACCAAAAGCACTTCCTGGCCCTACCTCACTGTTAATCGCGTTCTCCTGAAACTTGTTTGGTGACAAATCAGATAGCAACACCACCTGGAAACTCCAATGGCTCGTAAATTCCAAAACTCTTGCAGACCAAATGATCTTATATGATCTTCAATCTTACAGTCATCCTATCCCTTAGACAGAGCTCCAAGGGCAAGTCTGAGAAGCCTTCTACTCTTAAATGAGAGGCAGAAGGGGAAGAAGGGCAAAAGCAAAGAAGAAAAAACCCAAACAGCGAAGATGAATCTTCTTTTGCTCAGCCATGACTAACCTCCAGCAACTGAACCAAGGGCAAACCTGTACGCTGATTCTGCAATCTGGATGAGAATAGGTCGAGACGCATCACCTGAAGCTTTCTGTCAGGGCAGAATTTAAAGCAAAAGGAAAGAGAAGGAAAAATAATCAGAACATCATACTTCACAAGAGAACATCTCATGAGCAGATAGATCTAAGAACAGAGATACCTGGAAAAAATCTCACCATACACTGGAGATTTTGTTTGCAATTATTTCTTTTTCACTGATTTGTAAGTGCCATATAACACAGCCTCTTCAGACTGGAATAGCAAAGAAAACAGACTGATACTACAACAAAATTATACAACTCTAAAATCAATGGTCTAAAGGGCATACATATTGCATCTTAAGTCATTAATTTTCTGCAGCTAAAAGCAACTCCAGTTTGGAATTTCTTTCTACTGTCGCCAAAACCGGGTATATCTATTACTTCTCAGGCTATCAAAACAAGTATGCAAGCACTGTTCATACATATTAGCTAAAGGAAAATAAAGTTTCATAAAACACCCGCACAATTTCGTTTTGTTCACAGTCTATGAGTGCTAGATTCAACCCAATGAAAAATAAATTTCAGAAGTGCTCCAGATTTAAAATTACTACCTGATGAAAGAAAATAATAAAGATAAAGAAGTTCTGCAGGGGCTTTAAACCTTCCATACTTACTATCACTTTTTGTAATACGTTCTTTTTAGAATACTACAAGTAAAAGGACAAAATAAATATATGGATATATTTTCCTGAAAAGGTTTTAGTTAATATTCCAATGTAGGTGGAATCGGCCAGAAAAGAAATTGAAGGTATCAATGTAGCTGAAAATCTTTTCAGTCTCAGCATCAAACAGCTGACATTAAGAAAGAATTGAATGGGAAAAATGAAAAGGTAGGACATATATGCGGAAGAAATTGTAAGATTTAAGCAGGTTCATATGTCCTAGCCTCTTAGAACGACGTAAATCATACCAGCAAAGACAGTGGTCCCAAAGCAAAAACTGAGGAAGCTGTTACTTTCATCACCACATTTTTGGCTACATTTTACCGCCACCTATTGTAACTTATATTCCTTGACATTCAGCCCAATGCAAATGCTTTTAACTCCTTTAGGAGTCTTCTAGGAATAGATGGTGAGCTTTTGGGAGCCAACTCATCTGAATTCATCCCAGCATCATCAACATTTAGTCACTGCACAAACAAACCACCACCCCAGATACTGTCTTGGAGTGGTGGTGGGGGTGTTCACATGTAGGGGAGGGAGGAGAAGAAAAAAGAGAAGCAAAAGAGACGCATGTGTACACACACACACACAGAGGCCTGGCTTATGGCCTGGTAGTCCTAAAAATGTAGCCTACATCAACTCATTGTGGTCAAACTGGCGCCTCTGCACAGACCCAGAGCAGGAAAAAAGAAAACCAACAAAAAAACCCTTGGTCTCACAAGACACAAAGTTAAGACTGCCTTAAAATAGAGACAGGGAGAAACAGAAGGGTTAGTTTTAAATCTATGTGTATAGAAACTTGTCAAGGAAAATCTAAAATATAATAAAATAATATGAAAACTAAAAGATCGATAGGTTTTGACATTTAAAGAACACTCCTATTTCTTTTTGCCTCAAACACAAAAAAAAGTTCATTTGTGGTTATATCACTGAAAGTAAATACCCTATAGGTTTTGGAAATGAAGACAATAATAATGTTTTTACTGAAACTGTGATGTTAGTCTATACATAATCTCTCCTATTTTGATATTCAGCAGAGCATAAAGCAAAGCAGAGAACACTCTGAAGCCAGGAACACGGATGTATGTTCAGAACAAGGGCTGCCATTTAATAGGCTAGATACTGAATTTTACCATCCATATATGAAGCAGGATGTCTCTTTTCCTCATTAAAAAGAACAGAGAGCAACAGAATCACGAAACATAAACACCTTAATTAAGTATACACCTAATATTTACTGAATGGTGGGATGACACTCCTACACATTTTATCTTTCCAAAGTAAATTACATTTGACCTGTCAAAATACAGCCCAAGAGAAAGGGGCACAAAGAAGAGATGGAAAGAATATGACACAGGCTAAAAATAAATTCTAATAAGATGGTATTCCTCACAGATATTACAAAACACAAGAAAAAAGCAACTTAGATGACAACACAGAAGAAAGTTGGTTATCTATTTACCTGGCACAGGAAACAAATAATAGAATAGCATTATACTAGATTCTGTTCTTACCTGCCTCTGAGCCTCTGCCAGATTGTAGGGCAATGTCCCTTCCTCCAGAGGAGCAATTCTTTCAATATCAGCTAACGTCATGCGCCTGCAGAAATTAGTTCAGCTTAGTGTTTGCTTAGAGATGGGTTTTCTGATCTCAACAAGCTACTCGCACGTGGCCACTACACTACACTCTCCTGTTCCCCAACATCACCTTCTACTCCTTCCAAGAACTAGAGAGGAGGAAAGGAAAGAGAGGAAGATAGATAATTCTTCACTTACCCCCGTGGCTCATAAAGATCTGCTAACTGAAACAAGATGTCAACTTCCATGGGTGTAACCTGACCAAATTTCTGAGCTGCCAGAACAAACTCTTCTGCAACAGAATAAAAATACAGAAAAGAAAATGCAATCAAACCAGAAGAAATAATCCAGAGCACCCCAAGGTTGCTCTATATTTTAGTATAAAGTACAAGAGGCTGGCTGGAGGGGGGCAAAAGGGGAATAAAATTGACTCAACACAAAAGTGGTTTTGCCACTACATAAACGTGTGATTTAAATAGTCTGTCCTTCATGCAAGTAACTACAACTCTCTGGTCTTAAAGCTTAGTGCTACCAGCAGAATTTAGGACATTTGACATACGGTATCAATCAGTTGCAGGTCAGAAGGAAAAAATAAAATAAAAAGCAAACAAAAAAAAACCCAAAACAGGAGTCAAGGGATGTGGAACTTTTCATGCATAGTCCCAGTAGGCCACATTAATGAAACTCTGGCATTGCACAGGGAATTCTCTATAAAAGTGGTTAGATATAGCAGATAACATCTTGTTCCAAGCTTGTAGATCAGCTTACTGTGCCGCCAATACAAGTTTATGGAATTCTTCAACTACCCTTGAAGGTCACTTTAATAGGCTGCCAATTTGGCAGGAGTCCTAGGAAGTTTTTGAAACTTTTAAATATCTTTACATACTTTCCTCACCCTGCCCCCCCCACCAGTTTACTAGGACCTTTTTCTGATTGAAACAAAATGAAAAACCTGGAGGGTGGACTCCAACAGGAGTGTACAAAACTGAGTGGCAAACCAAGGAATGCTAATGAGGCAGGATTTTTTCCCCCTCCCATTGATTTAAAAGCATACAGATGAGGTCTTTCCCTCCATCTGCCCCAACCAAATGCCCAAGAAAACTTCCAGACTGCAAACATTTCTACCAACCCTTAGTGACTTCCACGTCTTTTCTATTTCCAGCCAAAGTACTGTAGATCTTTCTAATGAGCTCCATGTTGTTAAGGAGAGAATTAAATCCATTAAAATAGGAAAAGCTGACCTGATGGGAAGTGGTACCTCCAGCAGCCTGGAGTAGAGACAGTAAAAGAAGAAAAGAGAAAGGAGACTGTTACAAGCCTAGGAAAAATATCAAAATAAAGATTTTCAAACATTATTTTAAAATAACAACAGTAGCATGGGCTTGCTTTTTTAAAAAATGTGCAAAATAAAGAAAACTATGAAAGATTATTATGTTACTGAAACTAATCATGACCAGAATATAAAACTCCCTCATCCTAAAAATCTAAACAAATACATATGCAGGATTATAACAACATAACTAGAAGTAATTTACAAAGTTCAAGTTTCAGTACTGCTTCAGTTGGAAATGTTTCATAAGTTGGCTTATTTCTAGTAATGAGGAAATCTACTTCTACATGTAAAGCATATTACTATACAGAAAATTTCAACAAAATCAAAACATATTCTGAAAAGGGTCAACTGAAACATTTAAATTCACAGGCATTTCAAGTCATGGAAAACCATCAATAAGCTCTCAGGCTTATATCAGGCAGTCAAACATAATAGGAACAATAAGGTTCAAACAGTTATTCATTCTCAGGTGAGAACTGAACCTAAACCTTTGTTTTAAAGTGATGTTGGGTCTGCACATAGAAAAATTACTGGATCAATTCTTTATTTAAATTACAAAATCAGCAATCAAGCAAATTTCAGAAAAAAAATGCACAAGCTTGCCAAAATTTAATTGACCTTGAGGGAAAAATCAAAATCTTATCTGATGTTTTATGAGAGAGCATATGACCTGAGAAAGCTGGTAACAAGACTGTGAGGGAACCATGGAAGTATCAGATCTCACTGTCAGTCTCTAAGTCTTCTGGCTATGTTTTTTGCTGTTTGCATCTTCCAAAATTCTGATCAGACTTTGCAATTCTCATCACTTCACACATTTCCCTGGAATTCTTCCTTGCAAGTCAAAGAATAACAGATTTCTTTAAACCTTGATATAGCCAGGCTTTGCATTACTTGGAAAGTGCTGCTACAAGTTCCTCAGATTAGAAACTGTGGTCAAAACCAAATGTACCTTTTTTAATTTCTTCAGTGAAATTGCAGAATTGCAATATTTAATTTGGTTTGTGCACTTCAAACTGATACAAAATGTACAGTCAAGTGTAACAACTACCAGTCAATATATAGTGAATGCCCTTGGGTAATGTTCTGGTTCATAAGTTGTCCCAGGTACTTGGAAATTACACTCAGGAGCTTAGAATTTACACTACAAACCAAGTTCTTTGAGAAGGATATCCTAAGTGGGATGCAATGGCATTATGACATACTGACACAGTCTACTATGATGGAGTGACTGCAAATAGCCAGGAAAATGCTAATTTGTAGGCCATTACTAAGGTCCATATACATGCTTTGTCTTTTTTCTCAGGAGACCAGGAACATTGAAGATATGTATTCTGCAATAAGGGTTAACTTGCATATTGTGTAGATAACAACTGCTGAACTTAAAACACACATCCTCAAGAGGGACTGCATGTCACATAGAGTGGTCAAGGTACATAAAAAAGGAATCCCGCATCTGTATTCCAGGTCTTTGCCAGCTGGAATATCAAAACTACTCACAGCTACTAGACATTCTTCTACAAATGGCGTCAGCATGTGTGGCCGGATAGTGACCATAATGTCCCTGAAGTCCATAGCTGTGACTCTTCCAGACTGAGCACTGTCTCTCTGTACAAAAGCTTGTTTTGCATGTTCTAACTGTATCTCCTGAAAACACATAGGGGAAAAAAATAGTTAAGTTCAAAATCATCATCTTAACACTTAGATTTAATATAAATAATGCAGTCTTACAAGATTTCTCATACTTAACAAAACAGGACTACATTTAATCTAATTGGATATTGTACCTCTAAGTTTTGTCCTTTTCTATCAGGAGCATATATGGTCTCCATCACTGAGCTCAATATCTAGGACAACATCATGATTTCTTTGCCTTCTGGACATTACATCGTGCAATTCATTTAACTGAGAAACGGAGGACACATATCAACACCCAGTGCAGATAATCTCCCACTCATGAACATTAAAGTGTTCCATGATGTGCATTATCCAGTATATTGAATGTGTCACAGCAGGTCAAAATACTTTCTGTAAAAGTGCTCGCTACTCCTTGAACAAGGACAATGCAATCATCAGAGACTTCCATGTAGAAACCTACTAATCTGGAAAGCATTCCCTGAAAAAGCATCCCCATTTAAAACATAAAGGTTTTTGTCTACAAAAGACACCAGCAGTTTAATTCAGAACTCCTTGTATCGTGACTGATTAAAGATCAGTTCTCAATATTTCAACAGTAGTAACGGGCATAAGCATTATCTGATACAACCCTCCGATAATATCATTTTGTGATTCTAATGTACCACTGAGAGAAAAGAGGAGAAAAAAAGGCATTTAATCCCTCATAGCTGTATCTTTCCTACTGTGACCTTCACCCTTTCTTCTTAAATTACTGTTAGACTACTTTTTTTTTCCCATTTAAAAGAAACAATCAAGCACAGATAGTAACTTGATAATACATGTGAACATTTTGTTCAGTTCTACAGGTTTGCAAAAAAACAGAAATATATCTTTTGGTGATGTAGTCAGAGCTCCCAGTCTGTATTTCTCAGCTGAATGGAGGAAAACAAATCATTGTCATGTCTTCCCTTTAAACTGCAAGGATTATAAAAACTTCTTCATTGGAAATATAGGGCTTAGTCTGAATACATACTCATAATCAGTTATTCAGAAAATGGAATCAGAGCAAAAATATATCAGCAATACTAAGCAAGTCTTGTGGTGGACCATGACACTATCCAATTATTTCCATTATATTTGCAAATATATGCCTTAAAAGACATATTAATCCAGGACTCAGGCTAGTCAAGAACCACCATCATGTTGTATTCATAGTGAATATGATCTCCTGTAAGTTGATATTTGTCTTACAGCAGCCTTCAAGGAAATAAAGAGTGAAAGGCAAAAGGCAAATTCAGATAGAGTAGGATCAGACATGCCAGAGGCCTGCATCTGCCACTCCCTCCCTCCTTCTGTTCATTCAGCTCACACTGCCACTAAAACCATGATTGTCTTTTCATTTGCCTCCTGATTCCCCCAATTTTAGTTCTAATTTCTAATTAGAACACTGTACCATGACCTGAAAGGTACGATGAAAACCTCCTACTACATTAGGCAGAAGGAGGAAAGGAATGGAGGGAAAGGACTGATCCATGCTTCACTCACAAAATTATTCAGAAATTTCTTCTTTTGATGGGAAATGCTTGTGGGGTTTATAATTTGAAGTGGTACAATTTCAGTTCTGCCACTTTTCCTTTACATTACAGACCCCTACGTGGAGGTGTTACAATTCAGCAATAATACTCACTCTGGCTGGATGCAGCCATGTAAGCTCTTACTTCAATTCATTCGAGACTATAATTTGAACAGAAATTTGGAAGCAAGCAATTTTGGAAGGTTTATGGCGGACGAGCACATGAACACGAAAAGACTTCGTCAGCTTGAGGCTGGCAGCTACTTGGGAGGCAGAGAGCTCTGAAAAGGAATTAGGTATAAAAACTCTTGTATCCTAAATACTCACCACCTGGCAGGTGTTTGTTATTAAATGGAAGCATCACCAAAGAAAAAATAAATTTTATTTAGCAAAAGGATTACATGGGAAACTCTGAATATTGCTTTCTTCACCTTCCCTCATTCAATTTGTTTTAACCACTGAAACTGCTGGCAGTTGTTATGTTAGAATCCAGCACTAAGATGCAGTAAAAAAACCTGTACACCATTTGCAAAAGTCCAATCTGTTACCATCCCTGTAGACCCATCAGTGAGTCTGGAGGTATGTATACCATTGGTGGGACTTTGGCTGACAGTGACGTCTCAGCCACAGAACAAAGCAGGGCTTACACTCCAAAGAGATACATGAAGTGCATGTTTCTTGTCATCACCTAGCTAATTGCAAAAAGGCTACTAGTACTACAGTTGAGCACTAGCACTAGAAAGAATTATCCCGCTTGCTTCAAACACCTGGTCAAGGACTCAGTGCTGCCATTTGCTCATCTTTGTCAGCCAGAAAAAAGCCATTTAGCTGCAGACAGACAGCAAGACAAAACCCTGAATGGGATGATGTCAGTCTTCTGGAACTCCCTATTCACACCTCCTCCTTAGTTCAGAATGTAAGTTCCAGTTCAAAATGGTTTAAGCATACTGCAAATAGATAGAGAAGATTGATACCACCTTCTCAGAAAGATAGAGACCTTCTAGGCTACAATTATTTTGACCAGTGCTACATGTTTTCCACTTACATCAAGTGGAAAGAAGCATAGGGATCTTCAGCCACCTGACATTCCCAAATCATGACCATGGATGGCAGCATGGCATACAAGAACGTGCAGACCATTACATTGTAACACAGTCTCAAAACTAAATTTCACCTATAAAGTCTGTCACAAACAAACCAGACGTGTCGCTTTTCTAATCATTGCACAATGCATAACAATGCACTAAACTCCTTGAAGTGTTTACCTCAAAAGAAAGGCTATCCCCTCAAGTCTCCACACCTGAATGCTGAGATAACTCACAGCACAACTAACTACATTTCAAAATGAGGCTCAGTAGCTGCCAGCAATTTATCCTGGAATTCTTTATGAGATGTTTGTAACATCACCTGTGTTGGGTGTATGCAGCTAATATAAAAAATACCACCTTAAAAATAAACTGAAAAACAATAAAGCAAAGCTGTAGTCTTCAGAGTTGCTATCTGAGTTGCAATAATTTTTATTATTTCACCTATTTCGGTCCCTTATTGTTTACCTAGACACATAAAGGTTTAAAGAAACACAATCCTCATTACTTTGCAATACAAATCACACATCCTAAAGAACCTTCTCTGACTAGACTTTCTGTAAACTTAGATATACATAGAAAACGAGCTTCTTCCTTGATGTTGGAAGTCTAGAATTCTCCCAAGTAGCATATGACTTTGTGAAAAATCAACTTGTACATCATGGCAGGCACACTGGCACTAGAATTTTAATGAAATTATATCCTATCTAGAGATTTCACCTCAGCTTCCACTTACAGCTCATTAAAAGCTTCTTTACTTTCCACTTAGGTAGAAATTTATGTTTGCGTTCCATCCCAATGGATCTACAAGCCACCAGATATGGCACAATCCTTGCCACTGGAGCAGATCCCAGGGTTCAATTACAGAGAGTACTACTTCATCAACTAATATGCTGGGTATAAATGAATTCCCAGACAATGTGGAAATGGATTTACCAGGCCCACATATAAGCATATGTTAAAATTCATCCTGTGGAATAGATTCTACACGCCAAGAAAGGGGCTGATGTTGCTCTTCATAAGGCAGACTTGCCAATTAAGTGATGATGGAACATGACCATATTCAAACAGATGTGATGGATATATACTGGAGATATATGAGCCAATTTTAAGCTAGCAAAATGAGGAGCAGGGTAAAACAACACACCTTGAGCTCTAAGTTGATGCAAATAGATTGTTAACTGTATTAGAGCCAAGGAATTTGGAGGCTATACTTTCAGGCATCTCAGTTACTGCAGACAGAAAAAGTGCTGGCACGATATAAATATTCAGCATCCCATATAAACTCTTCTTATTTAAAGCCACAAGAGATCCATCTTGTGCATGGATAAAATATACTAATGTTATTTTCCAAGTACCTTCAGCATTGCCAGAAGTGATGATTAGCTCAAATGCTGTGACAGATATCAAACATGAACGTAAAAGAATTTGAATCTAGGTAGATTATTACATTAAAATTTGCAAACTGCATTGTATTTACAAAGCAGTACCTGAAGCACCATACAGAACCATCGGGTCCACGTTAAGTGCAATGTAAGTGCATTCACACATCAGGAATGCAGAAAGGTAATTTGATATCCACTGTGGTCTCCTGTTGTCTAAGGTCCAAGGTCTAGACACCTGATCAAGAAGACTGACTCACGCGCAGGCAGAAGGAAAGGCTGAATACCAAAGGTTACAGAGCTTAAAGGAAGATTTCTATGCCTGTGAACACTAACTCTCCAGATTGTGCTGAGAACCATTTCTGTGCCCAAACTTCTGCATCTATAATAAATCAGCAGGGAAACTTATGTGATTCAAAGATTTACAGGTCTAGAAAGTGAGTAACAGATGTACCCAGTTACTGGGACTGACTGAGCATCCTAATAGACTGTACTGGTAGCAGGTAGTTTCAGTCTTAGGAGAATTAATTTATTTGAAAGTCCTTACTGTCTGCACCAATGTTGAGAGCATCTTTATTAGCAGCCTTTGAACTTATCCTAAGGGTATCCCACTTCTCTAGAGGACACTCAGAATCATCATCCTCATTCTCCAGTGTTCTTCCTCCCTATTTCTTGTCCTACATGGATCATCACCGAAAGGGCTGTCTGGCTTATGAGGACCACTGACATGTTCCAACACAACCTTTCACTCTGCCCTGAAACTAGCTAAGATTCACTGTTGCAGTAGAGTCAGTTTAAAAAAAAAAAAAAAGGAGGCAGTGGCAAGACGCACCAAAATGAAATACAACTATCCCCAAAATATGATCACATCCAAAAAAATCCTTTCAGATAGTAGAAAGGAACATCCCTCCACAGGATGAGAGAGCCTAGGAGTTAGCTAGAAAGCTAGAAAGATATTCTAATTCCTTATTCTGTCAGAAAACTGGTCTGTGCCTTAGCTACTTAGGAGTTACAATAGTCAGTACAAAACCAGGGGGAATACAATTTCATCATATGATAGCTGACGTCCTCTTCATACAAAGTTAATTAGGCTCTGTTCTACAAAGTCAATTTGAAACATTTGTCTCAATAGCATTATCTTAATTATTCTTCATCAAAATGATACCACCTCCTACTGTGAACTAACATACTTGTGTAAACAAGAAAAAAAGAAACGTTGCAATCTTGAAGCAGGTTTCCATTTGAAAACTCTCTAGTGTAAATACTAATACAGGCATTAAATATTCAGGAGGCATTCAAATAAAAACTCATGTTTTTATTTGAATTTTATTTTTTTATTTTATTTTCAAATAAAAACCACTTCAAGGATCACTCTTCCTACCAAAAACTACTTTTAACAGTACCACTGAAATACAGATAATGTTTATTTTTTTATTAGCATAATATTTTACTTCCTGTAACAAAGTATCCACAAGTATGAACAGCCAAGAATTCCTTGCAAAAAATAGTATTCTCTATATACCACAAGCAAACTATGTAGCATTGCCCTATCTGAGAGTGTGTGGAAATGGCTTGCAACAAAACATTTTTATTGGATATCATCTCTGAATTAAATACATATTTGGTAAACACGCTGTTTACAGACAAAAATACTTAATACTAGTCTAGCAGGTGAATCCAAAATGTTCAGTAACATTCTTTGACTCATGGATTTAAATAAACAGGAGATTTTCAGACATAAAAGTCTAGGTTTTTAATTTCATGTCTCTGTCTACACAACAGTGTAGAAAAAAATCACCTTCTGCATTCAGGTGCTAAAAACAAAGGAAAAGGAGAAAACCTGCGCTAGCCTGAATCACCAATTTTACCAATAGCATATCCTATTTATCAACATACTATATAAGTCCGGCAGTCTGACCGTAGAAGCCTCCACTTGGTCTGTATTTCAACTTTCCTAACAGCATGGTATTTGAGAAGTTTGCAAATACTTTGATTCTTGCATCCTTCTTATTACTCTTGACAAACTGTATTGTATTAGACCCACCAGTAAAAACTGAGTGAACTCCGCATATGTTAGGTGTCTTTTTCTATCCTTTCCAAAATGCAGCTGTACGAACTCTGAATTCCAGTTAAAAGGAATGTGCTGATGAATTGTGGTCTGGCCAAAAACTTGCTTAGCATCCTCTGGGAAGAAAAGAAAAATGTTTATTTAATAATAAAATAAAACAACAATAGAGACAAGCATATAAAAAATATGATATTTTGTAACAGGAAAGCAATACTATTCTTATAAATTACTAACATATTGTGAAGTAAACTTAAGTTTTTTTGTTTACCAAAACCATCAAAACCATCACCCTCACAAATAGTTTCCAAATAATCTTTTTATTTGTGAAGTTTTATACACACAGCATTTGACTAGAAGAAATGCAGATATTTCAAGTTTCAAAGTCAAGCAAGAAAAGATTAAAATTAAAAGACAATTTATAAAAAGATGACTAAAGCTAGCCGATTTTCATCATAATCTTTTCAAGCTGCTAACAATGAAAGTTTTGTGTCACTATAATTCAGGCTTTTGAATTATTCTGAGCTCTCATGATTCAAACAAATCAGCTTTATTTCAATTATTTCAAGATCTGCTTTTCTGTAGTTAGTTACAGGAGCAGTGACATGCAGGACAGGGGATGGAGGAGACATGGCAGGCAGGAACAAAAACTTATCATCACCTCCAGCACTAAGCAGACTTTAACCCTAAATATCTTCTACAAGGAGGGGGGCAGTGCCACAAGTATGTTTTATCATACCTAAATGCAAGCTTCAAAGTTTAGTTCAGGTTAGTAGTCACAGCTAGTTTATAAAACACTCTGCAGACTGGTAATACTCAGCAGTTTTGGTGAAGAAGAAACTATTTGATACGCATCAAGCTCTACAGTAATAAGGACCATACATTGCATATATTTAACTAATGAAAACAACAATAAGATAGCAATGAGATCTGAGGAAGTACTTGTCTCAAATGACAGTGCCCATTTGTCTCAGCCAAAAATATAGGGCAAAGATATCTTCCAAAGACAAGCTCAAGGCCAGAGGTTCCCAGCTGCTATACACCTTCCTAATTGCTGTACAACTCCTCCAGCAACCCGAGCCAAGAGCCAGTTCTTGTCTCCTGCTAGTTCCTGTGGGCACAGAGAGCTGGTTCCCATGAGACGCTCCCTACCCACAGGCTGGGCCAAGAGCTGGTCTGTTTCCTTCACACTTCGTAGAAGAAAGACCAGGAGTCCAAACCACGAGCTCCTGTCTGTCTCTGTGAGCAGCAGAGCTGCAAGACAGTTCCCAAGCATGGCTGGTGCCTGGGGTTGAGAAAATCAGCACAGCTTTGTGCTTGCCTGTGTGCAGAACAAGCTGGGAGCCACCTTGCTGGAGCCAGTCTCTGACTGGGAGCCACCTTCCAGCTCATACTAGTGCCACAAGCAAAGGTGGGAACTGCCTCCTTGGGGCCATGAGGTCGCCTCTCCTGCGCACATTGAGTTCTGGCTTCTCATTCAGTCCATGCCAGCCAGGCACAGCAGCTCTGCTGACCCGGGAAACCCAACCAGTGTGGAATCCCCCATTTTAAGCAAGAAAGCAGGAAAAAGTGAGAGCAAAGTGGCACAGTTGAGAGCCAGGAAGATCTCAGGAAGAGTCCACATGAATGAAGAAAAAACGGTCCCAAGGAAATGAAAGGGGCAGGTGTCCTGTTGCACAGCCCCTAATGCCCTGCAGTTGGTGTTACCCACAGGGACAGTTCTAAAGCAAGAAGGCTTCACAGAGAGAGCAGAGACGAAAGTGCAGACATCTTCCCATCTCTCAACATAGTCAATAGTTTCACCTTTACAAATACAGCACCCACTGATCCCAGCGAATCAGTGGTGAAAGAGCAAGTTGGATTTAACTTACAAACAGAAAGACTGACCCCGGTTAGCCTCAAATTCATAAAACTCATAACTTCAAGTCTTAATGTACTATGAGAATTTTCTCCAAGCAAAGTCAGTGCCCCCAGGACAGTCTCATTGTTCATTTGTATCTTCAAGCCCCGTCACAGCCAGCTTGGATCTTGTCTGCCAGCATTCTCCAGGAGCAAAATTCTGCTCTCAAGGCAGTGGGAGGGAAAGTCTATTTGTTCAGGGTGAGGTTCTATCCTTCCACTTGAAGTCTTCCATATAGGATGTTTCCCCCTGACACAGCTTGAGGCACCTTGCCACATGTCATTGAAGATCAAACTGCTTTCTGCCAGATTTTCTACAAAGAAGGCAACGGCAACCAGCATGAAGAAAACAGCCTGTCTTGCCAGCAAAAAAGAGGAAATAAAGATTGTCTCTTCCTGGTAGTAACCACTCTGCTTTTCAGAGGAATAAAGATATTCCCAAAACATCTCTGTCACCTGTCTCTACACAGAAATCAGATGCTCATCTTCCTCTTTCCCTCTCATCCCACCTTCAGAATTTCCCCAGAGCAAGACACTGATATTGTGTGGATTAGATTAGGAATCCATCACCATTAACCAAAAGCTGTGTTTGGTTGGACTCCAGACTTGCCTTTGTTAAGAGAAAAAAAGGCGCATTCTTACCTGATGCAAGGTAAGAGAGAGCAAAACCTTAGCTAGTATAAAAGTAGTCTCAAACTCCTTTTGATGCAGCCAGGCTCCACACAATCTTTACTTCAACTTGTTAACATATGAAAGTTGCAGAGTGTCCTTTGATTATGCCACTGTAATTTTATTTTAGTTTGTTATCATACATTAGCCACCTTAAAGGAACAATGCATCTTGCTCCCCCAGCTCTATGTCTTGTAAACCTTCTTTGGTTGGGGCCTTAAAGAAATATTCCAGTTCAAGAAAATCAAACATAGAATCATAGAATGGTTTGGGTTAGAAGGGACCTTAAAGACCATCCCATTCCAATTCCTCTGCCATGGGCAGGGACACCTTTCACTAGACCAGGTTGCTCAAAGCTCCATCCAACCTGTCCTTGAACACTTCTAGGAATGGTGCATCCACAACTTCTCTGGGTAACCTGTCCCAGGGTCTTACCACCCTCACAGTAAAGAATTTCTTCCTGACATCTAATCTAAACCTACTCTCTTTCATTTTATAAACATTCCCCCTTGTCCCATCACTACATGCCCTTGTAAAAAGTCCCTCTCCCTCTTTCTTATAGGCTCCCTTCAGGGACTGGAAAGCTGCAGTTAGGTCACCCCGAAGCCTTTTCTTTTGCAGGCTGAACAATCCCAATTCTCGTAGGAGATGTGCTCTGTCCCTCTAATCATCTTGTTGTCCCTCCTCTGGACTCAGTCCAACAAGTCTATGTCCTTCCTGTGCTGGGGACCGCAAAGATGGATGCAGCACTGCAGGTGGGGTCCCACCAGAGTGGGCAGAATCACCTCCCTCAACCTCTTGACCACATTGCCGATGACGCACCCCTGGGTACAGCTGGCTTTCTGGGCTGCAGACACACATTGCTGGCTCGTGTCCAAACACCAAGTGAAAAGAATGGCAGTTTCAGACTAAATATGATGTTTAATTATTGGCATTATAAATGGCAAAGGAACCCACAGCAATGAAACTAAAAACCTCATCCAGCCAATTAGGAGTATAGTAAGGTCTATATCCAGGCCATTTGCATTTCCTTGTCTGTTTCAGAGATTAAAGGCTACAAGCATGCCTCAGAAGTTCATGAAAGTACAAATACCCTCCAAACAGCCCAAGCCGGAGATGCACACTTAATTTTTGCTATGACTGGGAAAACACAGACTACCACATTAGTGTAGATATAGTCAGAAAACTCCACATGCTACTTGATGTTTTCACAATCATACTGTATATTGATGTCAATATGACTTGGCAACTAATACCAGATGCTTTTCTGACAGAGTGCATGTTTGATTATACAGTGCAGGCAGCTGACTGGAAGATTGCCTACTGTGCTTCTACTGATTCTTTGATGGCATGAGACGTGGTATCCTGTTTGCCACTGCCTTTTTACACATACCCTGTACTTCCTTTTTGCACTTATTTGTGGTTCACAAACTCCTATGCTCAGTGAACAAACTCACATATGCTCAGTGAACAGTGTTTTTCCCTCTTTCCTTGCTAGGTCTCATCATCCATTCATCTACCACGATGACACTGTCTCAAGTCTCATCTGTAGTCAGATTGCCCAATTCAGACAATAAAGACCATTCATTCATACCCCATGAACAAATCTGAAGTGTTTAGCCTGTGATTTAACCCTCAAAAGGTATCCAAATACATACCAGAAGTCATTCGAAGTTATTGTTCAGTTCTAACAGTATCATCTCCTAATCATCTAAGTCCAGTATTAAAACAAAAAATGGACAAATAAAAATGTATTTTTGCCTTAAACCTGCAGCTGAAGTTCCACAGCTACCCATAAGTCACTTAAAACAGCAAAACAGAGAAGCTGCAGCGTGCTCTTGTAGCCAGGAGTTATTACATCTTTTTTAAAGGAACCTGTCTCAGAGAGCTACAGAACAATTTGTGATGAAAAGGACATCTGATTGCTATTAGAGCAACCAGCCAATTAGATCAGGTTGCTCAGGGCCATGGCCAGTTGAGGTTTGAATATCCCCTCAATAATCTCTGACCCAGAAGACCAGGGTAAAGGAATGTCAGAAGATTCTCCCTTGGTCAAGGCAGATTGGGTTAGAGAACACCTAGGTAGACTTGACATCGACATGTTCATGGGCCCTAATGGGATGAATCCATGAGTGCTGAGGGAGCTGTGAGCTGACACCATAGCTAGGCTGCTTACTATCATCTTTGAAAGATTTTGATGATCAGAAGAGATGCCTGGAAGAAAGCAAATGTCAGCCCAGTCTTCAAAAAGGGCAGGAAGGAGGACCCAGGGAAGTACCAGCCAGTCAGCCTCACCTCAATCCCTGGAAAGGTGACGGAGCACCTCACTCTGAGGCTATCTCTATCCACATGGATGACGTGGTCAGCATGGATTCACTAAAGGTAAATCATGCTTGACCAACCTGATGGTTGGTGAAACAACTACCTGGACAGATGAGGGGAGAGCAGTGGATATTGTCTCCCTTGACTTCAGCAAGGCTTTCGACACTGTCTCACAACATCCTCATAGACAATCTGAGGAAGGGTAGACTGGATGGGTGGATAGTGAGGT